TAATATATAGGAACATCTACAAATAAATCATGTTTTTATTTTTTATTTTCAAAAAAGGTCTCATATATTTCATATTTTACAATCAAGTCGCGTTTTTTAGAACATAAATTGTATTTTAATTTTCTCTTTTCGATATGCCAGATTACGCACAAATGGTACATTCGTATTTCTCACCATCATACACCTATAAAAATATTAAAAAATAATTAAAAATAATTAAAAATAATTAAATTACCTAACTATCCCCAAATAGTACAGGGCTAGTTTAGTAATTTTGCTTATTTTGTATTAGTATCTAGGTGAATGATGGTAAGAAGTATAAAACTTTCAAATTTGAGTTTAATCCAATATATGGAAAAGAGATAAAACTAAAATATAATTTATGTTCTAGAAAAATTAGAATTGATTCTAAAATATGAAATATATAAGACTATTTTTAAATTCTAAAAAATAGAGCTTGATTGTAAAATATGAAATATATGAGACTATTTTTAAAATTTAAAAATAAAAAATATTATCAATAAATTATATGTGTTTGTGCATGCATTAACACAAAAAACTACAGAAAAAATAAAGAAAAATAAAACGAGACCAAAAGAGAGATCGACGCAACTTGCAAGCCACGACATGACCAATAAAAAGCCGAATGCTCCACAAATTTAAAGGGCAACTACTCTAAAAAGGGCTGTAAGTTTTAGTCCTTATAAAGAACAATTGTCAGCTTTTCAAATTATTCCAGCTTCACATTGCATTTATGATGTCCAAATTAGAAGTACTCATTGAAGATAATTTTTTAATGCCTTGGTTGCAACCTTGAATCTTGACCACATACATGGCCTAATATACCAACATAATTCATAAAAGCAGCATAGTGCCAGCTCAAAAGAAGTTTGAAGCTCAAACCTTTAAAATAAAAAACATATTAAATAAATAAAAAAAAAAAGAAAAAAAAAAAAGAAAAAAAGAAAAAAAAGAAAAAAAAAAGAAAAAAAAGGACGTGTTTCAAGCGTAATAATTAAATTGGATATGTTACCAAACTTAGTAAAAAATACAAATTATGCATGTACAATTTGAACAACATGTCAAACTTGTGCATAGGAACATCTCAACTGTCCATTGTTCCATTGTTAACCATGGACAGTTGAGGTTGGTTTAATCATGGCACCGCTACCTCACATTTATTAAAATACAAGCTGTACCACCTTGTTATGCATTTTTGCTTGTCAATTTGCATTATCTAATCAAATAAGTGGGAACATTTTGCACGGACCTCTAAAAAATTCAATTTCGCAACTACCCTTCTCATTTATATGGTACGTTGAAAATTAATGTTTAGAAGTATATGGGACCTAGATGATAAGAATAGAATATCTTGTCTGAAATTAATATATTTTGGATAATAATGTTATGTTAGTTGTTTGATATGTATTTGTATACTATTATTTAATAATTTAAACTGAATAATAATATTTATGTTAGTTGTTTGATATGTATATGTATAATATTATTTAATGATTTAAGTTTCTTTTTATGATAAAAATCTATTTTTATTTTTTTGGCTAAAAATATGCAATTTTAGCAAATTATTTTGAATAAATCAAAATAGCATTGAGAAAAGATAAATTTAAATATAAAACTACCTAAAAGTTTATCTCAGGTAACTTAATGATGGATAGTACCAAACAACATATGGTTTATTTTCAAGTTAATGTTATTTCAATAGTGAATTATTAGTGATAACGAGTACATCCATACCATCCCATTCCCTCTTCACCTCCCTCATTTTCATTTGTTATCTTTACCTCAATAACTGCCCCTAAACAAAATACGCACTTTTCCCCAATCCCCTCTCTCTCTTGTTCCTCGAGAAAAAGCAAGAGATGTAGGGAGCTATTGAAGTATAAATAATTCTTTGATGCTGTCAATGAGGTAAAAATAAAAGAAGGAGAAGAGATGTGAGAATGGGTTGGGATCATCATGCTTTAAAATTTTAATGCTCCACGATAAGAAAAATAAATGAAGGGTCACTGTAAAGCTAAAAAAATATTTAAGGGATCCATGCAAAATTTTTCCCAAAATTAGTTACCATATGGAAGGTAGGCCCCACAATTAGTTATCATATGCAGATGTATTCTGGCTCCCAAGGGCCCTCTTTATGGAGGGTAGACCCCACAATTAGTTATCATATACAGATATATTCTGGCTCCCAAGGGCCCTCTTTATGGAGGATAGTATATTTTTCCATAAAAAAAGTAACACCTCCTTAGGTCCTGAGACTACAAGGGAGGTGCACTAGTTAAGAGGATTGTCTAATGAACAAGGAAAGAACTTGCATTTAAAACAAGGTTCCATGAATCAATCTCTCTCTCTCTCTCTCTCTCTCTCTGCTGTTTAGCTACAACATTTATCAATCATGGTCCCCATAGGCTGATCAAGTTATATTTGATGTTCTTGGGATCGGACCATACAGGCCACAAAATTACGGATTGTCCAGGGAAAACTTGTTTGATTGCAATCAAAATGGATTTGAACAAAAAAAAGAGTTTTGAAATATATTAAACTTGCTAGTCCAACAGGTCAACACGAGTTAGTTTGACCAACTAAAATCAGTCAAATATTGGTTTTAACGGGTTTTCGACCAAACATGATTTATACAATAGACCCAACTAAACAAGGCATCTATTAGCAGTCCGACCAACCAAATCCAACGGTCCATAACATGTTGATAACTAATTTTTTTGTTTTCAGCAACTTTTCAGTATAGACGCCAAAGCAACCAAATCGTAGGAGCTTCCATAGTCAGGCCAATGCAAGTGAAGAACATTTTGTCTATGGCAAATGAAATAAATGCGCCTCTCTCTCTCTCTCAACACTTCAAAACTATCCACTCTCATAATGGAAATCTTTCTGCCTCTTTCCATAGTCTCTTTAAAATAGGCTGCAGATCCCTTACATCAAGAACCCCAAGTTCCCTGCTCCTAAAGACGTCTACCTTATCATTTTTAAAATCCCCAATGCACCGGTATTGCTCCCAAGCTCATTTTGCATACACTACAATTCACAAGTTTTCATCATCATAGGTATTTGATCGACTGCAAAACTCCGTAAACCACCAATAACGAACCACAACAGGAAAAATAAACTGCAAATCTCGAATAACATAAAAGATTTTTCTTTTATATAAGGTTGCAACCTTAAAATGTAGAATCAAGGTGCACTTAAAAAATCCATTGTAAAAAGTTATTTAATGTTGGAAAACTCTCTAATTGATCATCTCCACATCGAGATGTATGAATATGAAAAAGAAAAGATTTCAAGTTCTAAAAATAATGCATCTTGCAACACATTATCTGGACCGTTCGATTTCAATATTTTCATGTAGTTATAAATCTACTTGATTTCAACCATTTATTAAGTCTAAAATTTTATAATTATCGATGAAAATAGAATCTCATGACATCCTATGAAGTTTTTACGACAAAATTACAATAAACTTCGATGTTACACACTATTTTGATAGTTTAAGGTTACAACCTTGTATAAATTACACCTTAATATAAAAGATTTGTGCCATACGAATATGTTTTAACTTCGATGGAGCAATGGTCATTGAAGTTGTTTATTGCTTAATAGTGGGGGGAACATGTGCTAGAGCATTTCTAAGCATCTCAACTTTCTATTTTATTGTTTAAGATGGTTAACCTTAGAGTCTCAACACCCATCATCGTATCATCATCCAAGCCTTATCCCAATTATTTGGGGTCGGCTTCACCCATACAACCCCCATCCAAGCCTTATCCCAATTATTTGGGGTCGGCTTCACCCATACAACCCCCTAAATCATATCGCTTTACGAAGATCATATCGCTTGTTTTACAAAGAACATATCACTTGCTTTACAAAGATCACATCGCTTGCTGAGAATGACAATCTAGAAGAGAGAAAATCTCAAAGAAAATAATAAAGGCCTGAAGCAGAGACTCCCCTAAATATTAAAGGGTCTAGAAACCTTGTTTTACGAAGATCATATCACTTGCTAAGAGTACCATTCTAGAAGAGCAAGGAAATCTTAAGGAAATTAAAAAATGCATGAGGCATCAGTTGTTACAATCCAACAAAAGCAGTCTTTTGCTGATCACATCTTGGAAACAATGCTTTTAGCTACCCATTATAATAAATAAATAAATAAACAATGCTTTTAGCTATCCTTGTCTAGAAACTGGACTCGTCTACTATTCCAGCCCAATCGAAGCTAAACATTATCTGCACTACTTTAGTTTCTCTAAGATTGCAGGCTGTCGAAATAACCTTCATAATGTCCTGTCTGAAACTTCTGTAGAGATCCTCTACCTTCAATTGTTTGTCCACATAAAGATAATATAACCGAAATTTGCTCAGTCCATAAGGGGGGAAAAAAAAAAGGTAAGAAACATCCATTAACTACAGGTGAGGACTTTTGACTTCCGCAGTCTTCTATTCCATGCAATTATGTTGACAATCATTATATAACCAAACGTCTTCCTTGCATGCCTTCAATACCAGCAACCCCATACTAGAGTGTAGCAAAGACATCCAACCAAGAGAGCTATTATGCATAATTTGGAAACACTTAAAAAGTAGTCAATTTGTATTGAAACTGCCCAATTACAAGATGCTGAGCCACAAATATATTCATAACTCCATAACTTCTGATACAGGTGATAAGGTACTCTTTTGTGTTTCCCAGATAGTAAAGTATCTATTTCACTACATGACCCCTTACTATATATATGAAGAACCCTGATGCATATAACCAGCATGATTCAATTTTCAATAATTTACAATTTTCAATGATCTACCACAACATACAATGCTTGAAAGTGATTGAATAAAAAACCTGTCCCTCTTAACAAAAAAGAAAAAGAACAATGGGAACACATAACATCATGTTCACTCATAAATACAAGCTATAAAGTCGTGGAAGATTAGCTAGAGATCAAATCATACAGCTAACAAGCTTATCGAGCTTAAACCCAAATATATAATAAATGAAGTTACAATATTTGTCTGGATCCTGCAAGCTCAAGCAGCCAAGTTTCAACAAGGAAAGTTGAGTCACGTTTCCAAAAATTCTTTAGCACAAAGTCCACTCACATATTTCTATATCCAGAGCCGTAGCTCAACTGTAGCGGTAGGTTGGTATACCATGGTTCACAACCCATCTTACAACAAAATTTTCACCTACCCAAAATGGATAAAAACAGTCAAAATATTTCTCTACAACAATATCAAAATTGGCAATAACAGTGGACTTAAAGACACCCATACAAAAAAAGGAAAAGGGGTTAGAAAACATATACAGCCTTATTGGGCATCACCACTAGCTGAAGCCAATGCACCCATGTTAACATCTGTAATTGCCATGCTTTTCTCAACGTTGACTGGGTTAACAGCTGGATCCGTCTCAGTCGCAGCAGTTGCAGAACCTTCTTTAGCCATGACGGGAATAACAGAGGGGTTTTTCTGAATCATGGCAAGAGAATTCACTGACTGTGAAGTCAAGGCACCCAAAGCAATAACAGTATTGGTGTTAGGATCCAACGGTGGTTGCTTTCCAATCTTTTGATCAGCTGATTTAAGTTCTTGGTTGGGGTTTACAATAGCAGCTTCTTTGCCAAGATGAGGTGTGCTCCTTAGATCAACAGAAGACAACTCCTTCGATGCATACAAGAGTTGCAACCGATAATCTGTTTCTGGTCGACGGCAAATCTTCCGTAGTGGTACAATCTCCTGCTAAGGTAGAGAGAATTAGCAAATTAATAGGAAGCACACAAGGTTGAATACTCGATATACATTCAGACCAGGGATAGTTGTATAGATATTAACTGTCAATTCTTTCTCTTTTATCTCAGAATCCCATAAGAAACCCATATTTGCTTTTTTTACTCAAGCTTATGAGAAGAATAAATTTTTTTATGGAAGCACATGTGGGATTGACAAGTCTAAAATACTGCATTTCATTAAGTCCTTTTCATTTCTCTTAGTACTTTTCATTTCACTTTACCTTCATATGTAGAATGCGTTTTTCAGATGCCTGTTTATCAATTCTTAGCACAGAAAGAAGCTCTTCAAATATACAGTCATGGATACAGATACCAGAAATATACAGTCAAGGATTAGATACCACAAGTTCACAACTAATAGAGAGGCATTTGGTCAATATAGAGACCGCTGGGGCGTGGCACCAACGATGGTCAAGTTAACCACACTCAAAAAAAAAAAACGATGGTCCAGTATGTAGGTAAAGAACCTCACAGAAAACTCTTTCCGGTCAATTTCTAACCAATTGGAATTAAAAAGTGCAAAACTGACTTCTTTTGTAAGACACAAGCATGAGTTGGACAACGTGGCATTTGGCTCGAGCTCTATCTGAACCTTGGCCAGTGGTTCAATGTTTATATGAACAACAAGAATGATGGCATAAATGCACAAGTGGCTCAATGTTTATATGACAGCTCTAATCATTTATACATTCCAGGAAATGAGATATTCTAGCAATCTGCCAATCCAGATATTTTTGGTAATTTATCAATCTAGGGATTCTTCAGTAATTTCCCAATAATTTATGTAACTACCAGCCAAAAAGTAAAGTTGTCTTCAAGACAGTAATGCCATTCAAACACCTTACTGTGGCTTCTAAGACAGGTACATAGTTCAAAAAGTCGGCTGCCTGGACGCCACCTAGGCCTAGGCACATGTCCAATGCGTGCTTGGTCCTAGGCAGCGCCTCGATGCAAGTTGGCCAAGGGCAGAAAAAGGCTCTCGGCCAAAGGCAGAAAGTACCTTTTCTCCCTTGAACAAGGGGGAAAAGGGTTTTAGGGGGTGAGGTAACCTAGCCCCCCCAAATCCCTATGCACCTAGAGCAACCCCAAAAAAAAAAAGGCGTAAGATCCCTTAAAATATAAAAAGGGTTTTTTTTTTGAGAATGTTAAGTTTAAAATATAAAAAATAGTTAAGGTCTATAAAAAGGATAAAGGGCTCAAGGGCATTTTCTCTGGCTCGCACGCACGCATGCACGAACGCATGCACGCACGAACGCATGCACGCATGCACGCACGCACGCACACACACACACACACACAACTGGGCATCCTGGACCCCAAAGGTGTATCTGGGACCCCAACAGGACCCTTGGCTGCTTAGGTGCCTGCCTTTGTTATTTTTAGCATTGGCATGTAGTTATTGTAGGGGAGAATGACTATTTGTTAGAACACTTGGCAAGTGGTTCAATGTCTATATGACAGCTCAAATCGTTTATTCCTTCCAGGACATCCATTCAATCACTTTATTATGACTTCTAAGGGGTGTAGTTATTGTAGGGGAGAATTTCTGTTTCAACTGCAAAGAGAATGCAGTGGAGGGGTCTAGTTAGTCTAACCAGTTATTTGAAAAGACTGTATTATATCAATAAACTAAGACTGTTGTGTTACATTTACAATTGACAGTATTGTACAGTATTTACAAAATGGGGTAGACAACCCAAACAGAAAAGGCTGCACCGTCTCACAAACGATGAACAGCGAAGAACTTGCAGATAGCTTCACCATTCAGGAAGGGTTGAGCACTACGGCTGTACTAGGAGCTATAGGTTTACCCAAGACAACTGCTATTCTATTGGACTCGCCAAATATGATGGAATGTGACACTGAGCTAAGCACTAAGTGCAAAAATATCTACAAAGATCTGATCCTGTTTCCAAGAACATGAAGAGACACTGTTAGCCCAGTTAATAGTGTTTTTAGAATCCCCTTTGATAACCAGCGAGCTGCGCCAGCTGCTGTTGAATACTGAGTCCCGGTAAAAGAGCAAGAGCAGCCAGGTATTTAAGACAATGGGGCCCAAGAAAGATAGGATTGTCGACCCCTAGCTGTCCCCCAGCATACCCACAGCTCCTGCCCTTCCTGGCTTTCCTAGTGAGCATCCATCAAAATTGACTTTGACAGTGTCCGCTCCCAGAGGTCACCACAGAGACAATGTAGAGTTGGGAGCCCTACTCACTCTGGCTGGTGCATCCCAGCTCAGTATAAAATCTGAGGTTGAGCATCGAGTTTTCTTTGCACATTCAATATCCATTATTTTGATGCTCTCCTTGATGTGTTGAATGTTTCACTCCTTGCATTTGAAAGTCGTGTTACTTTCTAGCCAATATATGAGGTCCTCATAAGGATTACACATGACTTTGGAAATGGGGGAGAGAAGTAGGCCAAGAATAGTTCTATGGTTTCTGGGGTAACTAAATGCTTATCAAACAATTAGTTGGTTCCCCATATACCTCCATTGCTGGAACTGAATGAAGATATGGTTCACCATCGCCTTTTACATTCTTTGCAAAGAATAGATCAATTCAGTATGATGAAATCGCACCTTGGTAACTGGTCTACAGTTAGGATCTTTCTCTGCATGGCAGTCATCCAAACAGCTGAATCTCGGCATGTGCTGGAGCGAACTAGGCTCAGTTGACCACATTCAGTGTGGGTGCCTTATTCCTGATAGGTAGGTAGAATGAAGACACATAAACAGGTCGGATGTTTTAGGACACCAAATGAGCCTATTCCTCCCAATACCAGGCAGGTAGAATCTTTGAAGGGCAGAGAGCAACCATTCAAAATCTAGCAGTTTGGTGTCATTAACGTCCCGTAGTCCTAATCAGCATGTGCATCCAACGATTCAGTGACCTCCACGATGGTGAACTTTTGAGTCAGGAACCACCATGAAAAACATAGGAAACTGAATTGCAATGGTTGAGACTCGTAGCCAAGTTTCTAGCCAGAAGCAAACTCTTTCCCAGTTTTGAGCAGCAAGCAAGTATAGTTTAGAAAGGGGCTGTATGCCAAAAGTATTACTCCCTATGCTCCCAACATATGCGGGTTGGCATTGGCCATCAATAACCAGCCTGATTCATGTGGTGACCCATATTCTTGCTGAATGAGGAATCTCAAGTGGGGATTCTTGGGCCGCAAATCGCCAAATCCATTTGCCTAAGAGGGAAGTATTCATGTCCTTTTGTGATTTAATACCTAATCCTCCAGCTCTTCTTTGGAGTTACAAACAGTATACCAATTGACTAGGTGCAGTTAGTCGCTACCATTTGCCCTTGACCACGAGAACTCCCTCATCTATCCAATCTGTTTACTACCTTCATTGGCATGCAGAAGAGATAAACTGAAAATTGGGAAACTAGATAAAGTGGCCTTGTTGAGCGTTATTCAGTGTTCCAAAAACCACAGGGTCACACCCAAAACCTAGGCGGCGTAGGTTCAAAAGGGGGCAAGGGGTAGTTTTAGGTCCAGATTTTCTTTGTAAATCTGGGTTCCCCTAAAACTACCCCAAAAATGCAGATCTACTCAAAAATTCAGTCAGGATTGTGAAGAGAAAAGGGGAGGGGGTTCCCCTCGGCACAACCTCCTTGAAGCTGGGAGTACAGGACTGCCATTTATTACAACCAAAAACACAGATGAAGAAAGAATGCCCGAGATCCAGGATTGCCACCTATTTCCAAAGTCCATTAACTATAGAATCATGTCAAGAACTTGCCAGTCGACATGACCATAGGTATATTCCCAATCAAGCTTCAGAACTAACCCCAAAGACTTAGAGTTGGTGCATGCATATAAGAGAAAAAAGCCTGTTCGAAGATTCGTCGATCATTGACAAAAGCTCCTTGATTGGGTGAGATAATGTCATGAAGGACACTTCCAAGTTAGGTTGCCAAAACTTTGGAAAGGATCTTGTAAGTACTATTCAGCAAACTGATGGACCTGAAATCCTTAATTTCTACTGTCCCTTCAATCTTCAGGACTAGGGTGATGAATGTGGCAGTCATCCCATAATGGATGATATCTCAGTCGTAAAATTCTGAAAAAAGAGCAAATAGATCTGGTGTCAGGATGTCCTTAAATTGATTGAAGAGAGCTACCAGGAAGCCATCAGGGTGAGAAGCCTATCCTGAACCAACTCTTTAGTTTCTCTCCTAATCTCTTCCTCTGAAAAGAGAAATTGCAGGGAGGCAGCTTGGCATTTGCACAGGGTTTTGAAGTTTAAGTCGGTAAATCTAGACCAAGGTAGACTTTGAGCAGTGAAAAACTTTTCAAAGAAACTTCTAATCATGATCCGAGAAGGTTCGATCCGCTTTTGTGATATGGAAGATAGAATTAGCTAGGTGCCTGCAGCTAGATATTTCATGAAAGAAGGATGTGTTTACTGTGTTATTCCTTCAGCCATTTAATTCTCAAGCTTGATACCGATATAATTCCTCCTGCTTAACCACCTTGTTCAGTACACTTTTACCTCCATTCTTCTGGCCCTCTCTAAGGAGTAAAGGATTCTCAACTCCTTAAAGAATCCAGGTTTTATCTCTCTTCGAGAAGACCCTCCTTCGTGCAGAGACTATTGAACTGGAGGTAGCTCTATTCCTTTAATCTGGATGCAGGTAACTGGAGCTTTTTAGTGATCCTAAAGCCTGCCCACCTGCCACTCAGGCCAGTGGCCCCCGAAAGGGTTTTGGCCCCCTAGAAATAGGCTTGGCGTCTAGTAAGTGTGGCCTGAGATGATCTTGCACAGGGTTCTAGAGTGAACTCAAGGGAACAGATTCTCCCAGTCTCAGGAGAAGAGAAATCTATCGAGTTTGGGAATAGTTATTCCAACCATTACCTTTCCATAAATTTAAAGACATTATTTAAAAAAAATTTCAGAAGAATAATACACCAAAGAGCATCATTCAAACATGGACTCTTACCTCAGATTGATCATGATCATAACGAACTAGGAACCTACATCGGCAACCCCGTACATCATGCCTCCTCCTTTGGGCATCAAGGACATGTGCATCGAAATAAAGAGCCTGTTCTTTGCCTTCCTGTAAGGATGGCATCAAAGCAAATCAAATATAGAACACAAGAAATTTCACAGATATAAAGAGGCAATAATTTAATATCAAAGACATATGGAACTTCAATGGAACCTGAAAACAAAGTATAAGATCCCCTGGAAGCACAACAACACATTCCGCAGTTTCACATGGAAGAGAACGCAATCTAACACACTTCTTCACATTAACCCATTCATCCTCTTCTGAACCAAAACCCGAGAATCGCACCCGTACTTCCTGAAACAAGTAAAAATTTCAGAATTAACACATGATTACTTCAGTTTCATATTACATCATGAATAAAAGTAAATTCTCCGCATCTGTGAATCTAGATCAAGATTCACAAGAAAACCACAAGGCCTATATCATAGTCACACTCAGAAACAACTCTCCCCAGAAATGACACTCTAAGGAAATACATAGGGTCACTCGGCATTCACTGTTTTCATTATCCACCCACAGCTTTTCATTTTGACAAGAATGCCAATCCCCAACAGTGTTGGTAGATTATTAAACAAGTGACTGAATGTGCTCCCTATTTAATTATTTGCAAATATGAAAATCTCAACGTTCTATAACTCAAATAGTTGAAACTCTGCTAATTCTTTCCTCTGATAAATTCACAAGCCGCTTACCGGATCATTGGTCTCAAACATTCTATGAGAAATAAAAGCTGCAACATCATACCTGTCGAATGCAAATGTGGCAATGTTAGACCAAAGGTTTCAAGACACAACTGATTGTTCGCATTTAGCGTTCCTTAAAATATAAGCAAACAAAAATCTCATAACAGTAAATACGAAGATAGAAAATCAAATATTAATATTTCCATCATAATATTTGATGGCAAGTTCTTTTCTTCTTCTTTTTTTGAGTATCCTTCTTTCCATGGTTAACTTGGATGGAAAAAGTAAATTTTGATTTTTATGCAATACTTTTCCATGTTGACTTTTGTTAAACAATGTCTTTCCATCTTCACAATGGGAACATATTGCAGAACCGAACGTTTTACTAATAAAACTCACATGGATGCAACCAGGTTAATGGTAAAATTACAAGCAACATCAGACCATTAATTTAAATCTACACTATAATCAGAAACAGTTATTAAAAGTCACAGGGCAGCGAAAGGCAGTCAACAGCAAGACATGGCAGATGCATCCTGAAAAAGGCATATGGCACACTTCAATAGCCAATAGAGCTCAGAACTGTACCATTTGAAAGGGGTTTTACTAAGGTAATGCTGGTGAAAATCTAAAACAGTCAGGTATTGCAGATTCCTACAAAGCATATGTGATCAACTTCTACGAGAGACTCCATTTTTGAGGATAGAAACACAGCGACGCCTGGAGCACCCGCATAAATCATGATAGAAATTTCGGGCCTGAACATATTTCTTTGGTGACAAATTTTAAATGCCTTTTTTTAACCCCAGTCAAGAAAAAATATGTGAGGTTATCCCAGATGCTACAAAAGAGATCAATCCCAGCACTGTTTCAATATTCCGAGTTTCTGGAGCACCAGCATCAATCTGATGTTCCAGCCACTGTTTTGAATATTTCTTTTTTCTTTATCCTAGTTAAGATTAGGTGAGATTCAAAGTTACATAATAGAATTTGTGCCTCAACAGCTAACCACCGAGCCAAAAGTCAAAACCCCAAAGATAAAACCTAAAATTGAATTCTTCCTTCCAGCATAAAGAAGTTCAAATGGCTTCCCAGGGTTGGTCCTATGAGACTTTGTAGATTAGACATCTAGGGGAAATCACTTTATTTCTGATACACCTCTATTAGTATCTCCTTCTCTAAAAAAAATAAAAAAAAGAATTATTATGGCTGCTGCAGGGTGCTGATGTTCCTCCAGACTGCAAGACACCATCAATTTTCACCAGAAGGAACTCTTAAGGATAAACAGCTATATTTAGTGCCAATTTGTTCCTCTACTGAGCTGTTCCAAGGCAGGTGCTCAGATATCATAGTTCATTACTGAGATGCAAAGTTGCAAAAATCAAGAACTGGCAAAAGACCAAAGTCAACGAACACTCATCTCTAATTACTCCCCCAATCACAGATTAACTAGGATTCCCTTCACCAAGGAGCTGCTCTTGAACTTTATTTTTTTGGTATAAGTTGACAGGCTGCTCATGTTCAAACTTCTATTAGCATTTTATCACTGGAATACGCTACAGTTTGAGGAATAGATTCTAGCCAAATGTTTAAGAATTATGAAAAGAAAATAATAAGTCCTTAGCATGTTAGATTCATAAAAAATAACAATCTTTATCTATGTTAATTTCAAGGCCCAGCAAACTGTCCAATATGACAGTTCCAAACATCCGGTCATATGTTATAGTTTCAGTCAGCTAATGTATGTTTTTGTTTGCACATATTACCTCATCTCTTTTAAGAAAGAAAAAATTTGAAATTAGGAGACTGATTCAAAAGCAATGTAAGCTTAATTTAAAACGCCCATAAAATTGATATCTCCTCAGAAAAAAATCTAAATAGGGAAAAAAAGGCAGTGTTACAAGATCCAAGCTATGCAACAGAAATACCCCCAAAGGAATTATAGCAGAAGGATGCAAAATACTCACCATGCCCCATCCCTGGCTGATCTAGCTTCAAACTCCAATTGTGGACCATCTTGGGCATGTCTTCCTGCACTTCACAAAAGTTAATAATTTAAAAAAATATCCAGGTCACAACCTATAAAATGTGAGTACATTAGTAAGGCCATAAGAGTTGCAAAGTTCACATACAAGGAACCATTGGCCTAGATTCTATGAAGAGTGGTGCAGGGAATAATATGTCCTGAAATACCAAGGTCTGCTACAATGTTTCAAAAAGCGCTAGGCGGGTGCCCAGAACCAAGGTGGACCCAGTAGAAAGAAAAATGTCTCTATAGGCTAACAATATAAATATAACTATATAACACATACAAATTAAGGATTTCAGGCACATCAAATGTAGCACACACTCCTCCATACTCCATAACCATAAGTTCATATCCAATTATCCATAGTTTGATAATCCACATTCGAGAGTCCACACATAGTTAAAACTTAAAATTTACCAACCAAATTACCAAAGTTACCAAACCAGTGCATCACAAATCCACATTACACAACCAATAGGAGGAAAACAAAAATGACAAAAAATACTTGAAGACTCAAAAGAATCTTCAATCATCATTCATCATTCATCATTCATCAGTCATCAGTCATCATAAAAAAAAAGTAGGGTCAGCTGCATCTGCATCATATGCATCAGAGTCGATGCCATCATCATCGTAATCATCTCCCTCCTCGACATAATGGCCGCTCTCCTCTGTTTCTTCTGGATCTTCCTCTACTTCCTCCTCTTCCTCCACCCTCGTCCTTTGTGAAGAAGATATAGTGGCCCTAGGAGGCCGGCTGATGTCCGTGAGGCATCCATGACCATGTCCCATGTCAACCCTTCATGCCCCTTGACCTGATCATCATCAACCAACCACTCCATAGCATTGTTCATATTTTTTGATTTGAGGGAGGTCTCTCTTATCTCTTTTAGCAAACCTGTCATTCAAGAATCGATTATACTTAATATAGACTAGGTCATTGAGCCTCTTTGATTCAAGCATGTTCCTTTTCTTTGTATGAATCTAACAAAATCAAATGGAATTAATTAATATAAATAATTAAATATATAATAGTATTACTACAAACCTAATAATTGCTAGAGTACTAAATTACTAATACAAATGACCATCTCAAAAGTACAACAATTTCGCTCACAATCGGAGAGGTAGTGCTTAGGCTTAAGATCCGAATGGCCTACTTTTGTAAATTTGGAGCCTAACACCCAAGTTGGCTCCACCAATTAGCTGCAAATTAATTTTGAATTTACAATTGTTAATGATATATTAACTATTAAGATATAGAATAAATAAATAATAGAATCATAGAAATGAAACTTGATTACTTGAACTTGATGAACTTAAAAATATTATTACCTGGATCAATTTTGGTCCTTTGCCTTATAGCCATTGGACTCCTAAGAGACTTTAATGCGCACTTGTAACTTATTAGCTCATCAGCGTATAATATCTTGGATATTCGGATCAGGGACTAACACATTTACACACTTATTAAATCCGGTCATAATTGTGTCATTTGTGTGTATATCCCTATCAGCATAAAAAAAAGCTGGGCTCAAATAATAACCAACTGCATACAATGGCCGATGTTCCCACTTCTCATCAATAATTCCCAAATAGGCTTATAGCGGCTCTCATCATGATCTAAATTTTGGGCTACCTCTCTCTTGCATCTCTCCATAGCCTCATATATGTAACCCATAGAAGCCTTGTCACTGTCAACCATGCGAAGGAATTTAACAAGAGGAAAAAATACCTTAAGAGCACCTTTCACCCGTTCCACTAGCAATTACAACTCCCTTTCTATTCCCCCTAATCATGGATTGTTGTCGTTCTACTTCTACCTCTTGAAATCCCTCCCCGTCCTCATCACTGTCATCATCATCATAACCGACCCGAACCCCAGACCTCATCTCTGCTATGGGTGCTTGTCTTTCATTTTTTTTCATTTTTCAAGACTCAAAAAAGTTTTTATCTCCTCTTTAACAGCATTAAGAAGTTTTTTACATGAGGCAACAACCCCCCTGATACCAGCAAGATGTTTCTTGAACCAGTTTATACCCCTTTTTATACCCTTTTCACAAAACTTGCATCTTATGCAATTTTTATCCAAATGATTCAGGTTGTAGCCATATTTCCAACGAGTATTTCAAAAACCGTTAGGCAGCACCTAGGCTGCCGAGGGGTCCAAGCCACCTGGCGCCTAGGCAGGCCCAGAACCTGGGCGGCCCAGTAGAAAGAAAAATGTATGTAGTCTAAGTGTCTAAGTCTAACAGCATAACTATATAACATATTAACACATAATTCATAATCCATATTTTCATGAATGAGGAGAATTTAGATAGTCCATAATCCATATTTTCATACAATGCTAGAACCATACCAATATACACACAAAAGCATACACACAAGAGTTAGATAGTAGAAACTAGAAACTAAAAAAATAAGAAAGAGAAAATATACAATCTAAGACTCAATAGTCAACACCAAGAGTCGAGCCGACTCAAACGTCTTCATTCTTCAGTCATCATCACCATCATCATTAGAAGGAGTAGGGTAAGGCCATCATCATCAGAGTCGTCTCCCTCTTCAACATAACACTCGTCCTTCTCTGTTTCTTCTTAATCTGCCTCTTCCTCCTCTTCTTCTACGTCCCTTTTACTCTGTGCAAACGAGGCCCTAAGACTCTTGGCTGTTCTACCTGGTGCCTCTTCACCCTTTTTTTTCTTTTTGTGCTTCCCTAAACTCAAATATTGTATAATCTCCTCCCTGGAAGCCTCAAAAAAAATTTTACACAAGACAACATCCCCCTTAATACCAACAAGGTCTTTATTGAAACGGTAAATACCCCCATTAGTATCATTTCCACAATAATTACACCTAATACGATTTTTATCATTCAAATTCGGGTTATGACCATACTTCCAACCCGGATTACCACTTTTAGAAAAACCTGGAGAAGATATTTCCATAGAACAAGGCTCATTTTCTTCCTTTTCTGATTCTATTAAATTCAAATATTGCCTAATCTCATCCCAAATAGCTTCTTCAATAACTTTTTTACAAGGAGCAACATTCCCTTTAATACCAGCAAGGTATTTCTTGAATCGGTTAATACCCCCATAGGTATCTTTTTCACAAAAATTACACCTTATACAATTTTTATTGTTTGGTTTCAGGTTATAACCATACTTCCAGCCCGAATCACTTTTTCTTGAAGAACCAGAAATAGATCCATTCAAATGACAAGGATTTTGTTCTGGTTTGTGTTTTACTAAACTCATAGATTGGTTAATCTCCTCTCTGATAACTTCAAGAACATTTTTATAAGGCGCAACATTCCCCCTAATACGGACAAGATATTTCTTAAACTGGTTGATGCCCCCTTTTGTATCTTTTTCACAATAATTGAATCTTTTGCAAGTTTTATCCAAAAGATTCGGGTTATATCCATATTTCCAACCCAGATCACCACTTCGATTAGATCCTGAAGAAGACATCTCAAAATAATACAAGCAATCTAAAAAATAAAATTTTGCACTTACTTTGATTGCTCAATCTCCAAACTTCCACCTCTGAGATGTTTTCTAGTGCTAAGTCTTCAAAAACACCCTCTAATAGGCCTAAAAAAACTCTAAAACTAAATCTAATCTTCATGGGTGTTGTTTGGATCCATTTCCCGTAACTTTTAGAAACACTTTGATCCAATGAAAATCACAAAATCTAGTTTCTTTTTAGGTTTTTTCTCTCTCTAAAATGGGCTCTAGTGGGTTTAGATTTTAACTGAACCTAAAACCCACCTTTAAAAATATTTTTTTTCACAAAAACTGAAAAAAAAAAAACCCCTCAACAAATGGCATTTTTGCCCCTGAGCGGGGCGTAGGCCCTGGGCAGCCGCCCAGGGCTGGGCGCTAGGCGCCCGTCTAGGTGGGTGCCGTATCGCCTAGGTACCGCCCACCTAATTTGGCCGCCTAGGCCTGGGTGATGCGCCCAGGCATTCTGGACCGCCTAAGCATTGTGCGGTCTACTTTTTAAATCACTTCGATTAAATCATGATAAATACATCTCAAAATAATATAAGCAATCAAAAAAAAAAATTCACTAAATTTGATTGCTCGATCTCCAAACTTCCACCTCGAAGATGTTTCTAAGGACTCAAAATCTTCTAAAAAACCCTTACATAGATTTATAAAACATCCAAAACTAAATTTATATCAATGGGTGATGCTTAGATCAATTTTTCGTAACTTTGAGAAACCCTTTGATCCTATGGAAATCACCAAAAACAAGTTTTTTGGGTTTTTCTCTCTAAAATAGGCTATAATGGGTTTAGGTCTCAAATGAACCTAAAACCCATAATTTTGCCCCTTTAATATCAAAAAAAAATGACAAAAAATTGCCCTCAACGAGGGGCATTTCCGCCCCTCGACGGGGCGCAGGCCTTGGGCACTTGCCTAAGCGGGTTCCCTTGCACCTAGGTAGGCGCCCAGGGATATCCTGCCTAATTTGGCCATCTAGGCTCGGGCGATGCGCCAAGGCCCTCTAAACCGCCTCGACGGCCTCCGCTTTTTAAATCATTGGTCTGTTATGAAGTTTTTGACATTAGATGTCTCTTTAGACAAGATAGCACAAGCTGGTGTTTACTTCCAATATGTGGTTCAATACAATGCTTGCATGAGAAGGCTTTTTGGCTGAACTTGCCCAAATAATAATAGGTAATAGTTAAGAATACTAAAGATAAGTCAACAATATGTTATTTCATACGAGGGCCTGAATAAAGCCAAAAAAAAGGAGGAAACAAATAGAGGAAGAAAACAAGTATGACCATATGTGTTAGAGTTTCATGACCAAAGTTCATGTGCGCAACTGTAACTTGAATTTTATTGGTAACCTAATATCTCTCGAAATGTTAAAAAAGGTATCCACCTTGCAACCTAGGCAGGTACCAAGGCGGTGGGGACTAGTAGCCCGACTAGGCGGCCAAGGTGCCAACTACGAACCTGCCTCAAGGTGAGTGCCCAGG